GGACTGGCTTGCCATTTTATTGTGGCACGCGGGGCACTTGGCTGTTGGCTTTTGGGAGTTGAGGCTCACTTAATGGATTGTGTTGGGAGAGCGTTTAAGGACACATTAATTGTACAGAGATTTTAGACAACAATTAGTGGGGAGATAGTGTACAAAGTGCCAAAGAATAAAAGACTGCAAAGGTACAACCTTTAAGGTATTAAGGTATTAAAGGTATTTGAGAGGTACTTTTTCTTGATTCTTTTCCAATTATTAATACAAATTGAAAACCAAACTACCCATACGATTCTCTCAGAAAGTACTCATGCAACATGGTTCCACTTGAGCCTAACACACCGCATTAATGCCTTCAATTGCTGTCCTGTCCCCAACGACAGCGCACAGGACCTACAGGCTGACACTTCTCTTTCGCCTGAATACAATTTTCTTTGGCCCATTAAGACAATTGGCTCTGGCGAAACCAATTTCTGATAAGCCTCTTTTGCTTAAAAGCCAAATTATGATATTTTCTACTCCTTTTTTTTTGCTTCTTTGCTTTTTGCCAATAAGGCGACCCAACCCCCGAGAATGTAATTTCCCCAGACGCAAAACCTTTCTGCAGACCAAAAAGTAAGAAAAAAAAGTAAAACCGGCAAAGGTTTTTTCTTTTTATTCGCTCCTTTATGGCTTTTTATCGAACAAAGCCCCTGAGGGACTATTTGGCGAAATAAAAATAAAGGTATAATATACTCAATATTATTGTCGCTGCGGGTCCAAGGTCCAAAGCCTACCCTTTGACTTTGAGACTAAATTAACTACCAAGTGCCATGCGGCATGGGGCATGCCGCAAGCGGAAAATGGCATTGGCAATGGCAATGCCCACCCACCAAGTAATTTTAAATAAATTATTTAGATGTGTATTTGTGCATTCAAGTGCGACCGTTGTCATTTGCCTTCTGCGGAAGTATCTGTGTAAAGACACGGCAGAGTGGCGGAAAATTGGAAGCACTAAGCAGGGAAAAAATTAATGGGAAATATGACAAAATTCACTGCCATGTGGGAGCTACAAGGAATGGCAAGACTTGCGAGTGGAAATTTGTATTTTAACGAAGGAAAGGCTAAGAAATTTCTTCAAAGAATGACAGAAAATCATTCAAGCTATTTTTCTTTCAGATGATGGAAATTTCTTGGGTTACAAAAATGTAAAAAGAAATTCCTTTAATACTTAAAAAATGGGCAGTTTTAAATCAGATGATGAATTAGTATCAGTTTTAGAACCTTTACACCAATCAAAACTCAGTCAGACACCTTCCACCTTAAAAACAGCTTCCAAATGCAACAGTTTTAATTACCAACAAACGTACATCCCGCAGCCCCTTCCCCTATTCGAATAACATTTTTCCATTCAAGAAAGTCTTTCCTAAAATGTTCCTTAAATATTTCAAGTCCTTATTCCGTGTACCCCCTCCTACAAAAGACGAGTGTATAATAATCACATTATTTTATATCCTGCGATTGGAACTACGACAAAGAACACACCCGCACCCTTATCTACACAAAATAGGGACAGGGGGAAGAAAGAAGCATAAGAATTAGTGCTCCAGGCCTGATGCTCTGGAGACGGTTTTTATTAAAATAATAAAGTTCTAATTTAATTATGACGCGAACAAAATGAAGTACGAGTCCTCCTGGAGAGAGTTACTTTTCATTTGATAACTCACGTACCCCGTCCAAACCGTACCCGTCCCATTTCTGGCATTGGTCCTTGGTCCTGTTCTTGTGTGGACTACCACCTCGCAAATATCCCTGCAGGCTCTAATTAGCAAGCGGCGGCCGTATAACCGAAAAATCAACGCGAAAAAGGCCAGGAGGAGCGATGGAGGGGACTGGTGCGGGACCTGTTCCTCAGGGCAGGGGGTACAATAAAGGACCATAAAGTGCTAATTGAATAAAACGGCACATGACTTGCATAACTTATTATGGGAGAGAAGAGAGAAATATTTATTCTCGCCACTCGTTAATGCAGGAAGAAGGGCCCCGGCACCAAAAGGATCTCTAGGAATAGAGCAGGATTCACCCAAAACCCAAGACCCAAAAACCATCCTCGCCTTGGGCATAATATTTATTTTCATAAATTTAAAGCATAGCGCAGAATGTTCCTTCGCAAAGAAAGAAAAAAAAAAAGGAAAAGACGTTTAGAGACAGGAGGCACCTAAAAAGGATATTTCGCTGGCGGAAATATATTTTACGTTTCGTTTAACGCGCCAAAGATGGCGCCACTCTGCAGAGGGCTATGTCCTTTCTCTTTCTTTTTTTTGGCAGAGGGTGTGGGGCCACGGACAAAAGTTACCAACCGGCCCACGTAAAACTAATTTAGCCCGCAATTTCTCCGTCTCCCCCGCTCACTTTTTTGGCCACTTTGGTTCGTGTTGCGCCAAATTAGTCTACCTCCACATCCGAGAAGGAGAGAGAACATAGAAAAGGAGAAAGAATCCAACAAATATGCAGGGAGTTAGCTATATACATATATATGTATATACGAACAATAGTACAAATGATTTTACCTTGGGGAAATGCATGTTACAGTTTTTAATTTGCATTGCCTGAGGCCATTCACAAAAGGCGATGGATAGTTGGCTTTCGGTTTGGCTTTGACTTCAGGCTTTTTGGACTCGGTTTTAAGCAGTTTCAGGCGTTTGTCTTTTGTTGAATTTGTTCAGTGAGGGAAATGGAGAAATACTCGGTGGTGGAAAGAGTTAGTTGTGCAGACAGGATATTATGTGGGGGGTTTTCTTTTTATATAAGTGATATGATGTGGAAATTCTAATGAAATTAGCAATTTAATAGAGGGGAAAAGGAGTTTAATAGAGGAGTTGTAGAAGGGCAGAGTTCAAGAAATCGTATGAAATTTGTGTTTGTATTGTATAAACTGACCCATAAATCGTACAATTGTTTCTTAAACATAGTTTTCTATGTGCCTAGAAACTTTTTAAAGATTTCCCTTCAACTTTAAAGAGCCCCAACCCCAGTTTCCATAAGCTCTCACTAGCTTGACCTTTGCTCTTATCTCTTAACTCAAATCCAACCTTTTTTTGTGTTGAGGCCTAAGCTGCCGCTCAAGTTAAACATCTGCCATAAAAAATGACTTTATCCCGCTAATCTTAGGGCATTTGAAAGTCAGTCGAGTGCTTCATGGGGCATGTAGGCTGGCAGCTTCAGTAGTCAATTGTTTGGCGGGCGTCCTGTCATTAAGCGTAAGCGACCATTTCATTAGCATTGTGGCTCCACAGCGCACAGAGAAATAAAGAGAGAGAGCGAGAGATCCAGGTCTCCCCCACCCATACAACATACAAAATCCAGCATCCAATGTTGTTTTTTTTTTGTGTAAAGCGAGAGTATAAGAGCTATGATGCTGCTCCTGCCCCTGTTCCTGCTGTTGTTGTTGTTGGTTTGTGTTTTCTTGTCATGCTCAACACGTTCCAATTGTTAAAGCCCTCCTCCGCCACTAGGTGGGGACAGGGCCTTGTGCCCTTGCTATGACAGCTCTGGTGGTCATGCCGTCAAAACATTTGTCCGATCATCGCGTCCCATCAATGGATGGCGCGTCCTGGCAATTGAAATGATGTCCTCTCGCACACCCCCAATGGGGCACACTGTACACCTTTTGTACTATCTCTCTGCAACCGGGTGGAATACCTTTTGTATCTCTGCCCGCCCCATGGGAGAGCGCTCTGCCCGCCATCTGTCAGCGGCAACCTTACCCCTCTTTTGGGGTTGTCAGCATGGCCACCATTATTGATGTAGTTTTAAAAGGAACACTTTAATGCATATTAATGTCAATATTAATGTCAATATTTGAGCTTCTAATGACCAGAAAGCAGCCCTGGTGCGGCTCCTGCTTTTGGCAGCTTTTTTGTTTGTTATTTTGTTTGATGTGTCAGAAAGAGAGAGAGAGAGAGATAGAGCGAAAGAGAGATCAGAGGTGCTCTAACGATGCTGCCACGACCTGTGACCTGACATTGAGCATATAATTATAATATTGCTGAGATGCTTGATTAAAGGACAGTCGTAGGACATTTTGTTGACATTTGGAAAGTTGTTAGCTCCTCCGCTAGAAACTTTCGTGGAAGGTGGACCCAAGGCTGGACTCCCTCCCTCTACTCTACTCTACTCTACTCTACTCAAAAGTCAAACGTTAACTAAGCGCCCAAAAAACTTGTGACACAAAATGCGTCGAAGCGTAAGTAAACTCCTAAGAAATTCAAATGAGCGTAAGCAGCAAGCAGAGGGAAAACACCAGCAGCAGCAGCAGGAGGAGGAGGAGCAGCAGCAGCAGGAAAAGAAAGAAAAGCAGATGGAGGAAGCCGCTCCAAAAAGGTAGACTAGAATTTTAATAAATGAAGTCGCTTCACCTTTCAAGAACTTCTCCGGTTAGCACAAGGTACCAGTCAAATGGATGGATGGCTGGCTGGGGCCTGACTGCCTGCCTGCCCGGCTGACTGGACAGAGGGGCGCAGGCACAATAGATGAAAGATAGAAGCAAAGAGTTCTCGGGTAGGAAAAATATCCCTGCCAACATTACTGTGCAGTACTGTACCTTAAATTAAAGGCAACGAAAGGTTAAGTGGTTCCTTAAGAGCCGAGGTGACAAAAGCCGGAAGATAATCCCCTAAGGGCGTTGGTATTTTGAAACCTGTACCTCGATTGGGCTTAGAGAGAGGTAATTGTGAGCAGGAAGAGAGAGAGGTTCTTGAGGTCTTAAAGACATAACATTTCTAGGTTTTTTATTCCCTAAAGAGCAGCTCTTTCTGCAGCTACATGTAGTCACAGCTTTAGCTGAAGCTGTGGCTTAATTTGATTCAATATATCCCTTTTATACGCGCACAAACAGAACAACAATGGTTTCAATTGTTTCCATTGTTTGCCACGTAACTCTATAAAATATATAGTAAAACTCCCTCTTCATGCGGGGGAGAACAAAAAAAAAAGAAGAGTAAGAGAGTAAGGGTAAGGGTACTTACCATCTTTAATGGAATACCGTGGATTGCTCATATCAACTTTTGTCTGATTCTTAATCCAGTAAATGTTTGGCGTTGGATTGCCGATGGCTTTGCATGTCATGAGCACCGTGTGACCCACTTCAATGACGCGTGTGCCCGGTCCTTGGGTTATAACCGGAAAGCCTGCGGGTGTTTTATCGCCTGCAAAAGAAAAAAAACAGTCACAGAAGAGGTTAAAAATGATTAAGTTGCCAAACAAAAAAAAGGAATAAAATATGCATACAAGTGGTCTAACGTTAAGGATAGTAAAATGTCGGCTGGGGGTGGTGCCTGGGATCTAGGAGTTTTTGGACAAACAAAATGGTGCCCCTCTCCGTCTCTCACACTGTTTGTGCCACGCAAAGTATTGTTTTACATGACTCTTTTATATACGGAAGTTGCCGTTTTCGTGTGTGCGTGTGTTTGTGTGTGGAAGAGCTTTGGTTGCGTCGTTCCCTTTGTTGGCGCTTTCTACGCCATTTTGTAAGTCAAACAATGGCTTCCACACACACACACACACACACACACACTCCACACACATACTTATGAATGCATATCCATGTGTGTGAGGTCAGCGTTTACTCCCGCCGCTAGTCCTTCTCTGTGACATTTTCTTTTGTTGCAGCTTAAAAGGAATTTCATTTTTGTTGGGTCTCTCATTCTGTCCTCTCCTTTTTTTTCTGTTTTTTTTTTTTGTTTGCGAAAAGCTTAAAGAAAATTCTCGCGGTGGACTGCCAAAAGTGGCTTCGGATCCCGGCTGCGACTACGAACTCCTGCCGCTCACTCGCTCTCAACTGCATCTTTCAAATGAACAAAGCTCATTTACATTTTCCAATTAAATCCGGCGGAGCAGCGGCCATGGCAATTGGCGAAAAAGGCAGAGCATCCAACCCACCAGCACCCCCAAGGGGACAATGTGGATGCGAATGTGGATCTGGGATGCGGATGAGAAGCTCTGGCGGATGCGAATGGGTTCTCCTGTTAAACTGCAAGTGTCTCCGGCAGCAGCAGCAGGCAGCAGCTGCCATTGCAAAAACCATCTGCCCAGCTGTTGTTGCCTTGCCGGTTATGTGGTGCCACTCTTTTTTTCCAGCGTGGGTGCTATGCGTATTTTGAAAGGTTTTGGCAAAGCGAAGTGTTGGAAAATCAATAGCAGAGCGTATCGCACAAGATCGCGAAGTGTATCGCAGAAGAGCATCGATGGAAGCTAGTATCGCACAAGAGTATCGATCACCAAGATTATCCGTTAAGGGGTTTCATCTAAATCTAAATCTTCTAATCGAGTTTCATGATTACGTTTTCCTCTTCATATGGTTTTCATCTTTTCAAAGTAAGAGTATTTGAACTTCCTCTCACCTTTATGAGTTTTCCAGATGCATTTCGTTTTTTTTTTGGCATTTACTAAAACATTTAACAGCAACAAAATTCCACAATAAACGGGCAGAAGTTAGCTGCTGTTGCAGGGACCCTTTATCCTTTCGCTGCTCTCTGTTAACTATTCCACGGTGTGTAACGCCCCCCGGTGTACCCTGTAGGGCCATAGCCTGCTCTTCCTGCTCATCCTTTCCCTCTCTCTCTCTCTCTCTCTCTCACTTAGTTGTTTGTGCTGCTGCTGATTCCTGCCTCTGTGTTTGTGTGTTTTTCAGCGTGAAATTAAAATTTTAACACAGAGACAAAAAATGCGGTGGCTTTCCTATACATATATGAGTGTATCTGCGTTTGTGTGCATTACATATACATACATATGCATAAAATGCAAAACTATAAAAACAAAAAGAAAGAAGCGGAGAAGCGGAGAAGCAAGGGCCACGATTTTGGAGACCGAAGTTTTAGATGCTCTTGAAGGTTTTTGTTGTAGAAATAACTATGTTGGCTTTTGGTGACATTTTTTAAGCCAGAACAACTGTAGTTTGGCTGTTTGAACACCTGGGTTGGTGATTTTTAATTAATGTTAGAGCTTTTTTGGGTGTATAATTTCAGGAATTGTGTGAAAAGAAAGGATAATATTATAATCTTGAATGTTTAACATTTAATTTGTAGTTTCTAGCTAGTTTTCTCCTACAAAAACGTACTTTTCCATTGAGCTTATGATACTTGATACGCTGTTTTTTTTTTCCTTAATAATGCTTATAATCTTAAAATCCATTTTTTCTTGTTGCTTTCTGTATCTCTCTTAGTTTTCTACATTTTTTTGTGCAGTTGCAATACTCTCTCTCAAAGAGTATACCTCAGAGAATCAACAGCAACACCATTGATGTTGACATTTGACGTTGAAATCATCATCATCTTCATCCACACGTCGAGGCCCGCTTTCCGGCAGCAGCAGCAGCATTTATTTGGCCTGGCTCTCTGTGCAACGTATTGTCTGTTGCTCTTTTCAGTCATTTTTACTCCACCATACTCAGAGCCAGCCCTTTTGCAAATGCCACTCCTTTTCGTTGTTTCGCTGCTTTATTTATTATTGCAGTGTCACATCAGCCCGTCCTTCCCTTCCTTCCATCATTCCCTCATCTCCACACAAAATGCATAACGAAACCAAGGGATTTCGAGCAGAAAAAAAATACACACAGACCAGCGAGTAAAACAAGCAAAGGGAAAAAAATTAAAAACTGTGCCAAAATTAACACAAAAAATAATAAAACGGTACTACATTTGTATTAAACAATGTACAAAAGTGCATTCTATTTGGCTAACAAATGTGCAGCACAGTACACACATGACAAAAAGAGTCAGCGAGGCATGACTGAGCGTAGGATTTACCCACAAGGATAAAACGAGTTGTTGGCACTTTTTTGTGTGTAAGAAGTTACACACTACTCCAAACAAAGAGAGAGAGAGAGAGAATTATGTACAAAACGTGAGCATCGACAAATACACATCAGAGTCAGATAAATGGAATTGCTGGGGCTAATGTTTGAGTTATTTAAAAATCCCTTTTTTGGGTTGCGCTGCATGCTTAAATCGTTCCCTAATTCTGTACTTTCCATCACCCAATAACACGCACACTCAATAGATACAAACAAAAGCCACATAGAGCCACACTTTATGACAGGCGATAATGCATTTCATAGGTTAATAGGCTTGGTTGCCCTGGATGCATGGCAGTTGCAGGCCTCAGCAAAAACACTTTGAAAGCCCTTCGTTATGTGTCCAAAAATTTCATAGGCCCCCGGCCTCCCAGGGCCGACTATGTACTATGTATTCCCTGGTACGCCCGGCAACATTTCACACTAAACACCAAAGTGTTGTTCGGAAAATGCAATGAAAAAAGGGTTGGGTTGGGGGCCAACAGCCAACAGCCAACACTTCATTTACAGCATTAGAGAGACGAGAGCGAGGAGGACGAAGAGTGGGGATGTTGGACCCAAAAAATGCAGCGCATGGATGGCGACCAATATGTGTAGAGAGGCGACAGTGCGTATCCTGGACACGGTACAGGAGGAATGTGGGGTGGAGTGTAGAGTGTCTGGGGGTAGAGTGCGTTTATTATAAAGCCAAAAGCGGCAGGAGTCCTGGCCGGTCTGTCGTTGACTGTCGATTTCATGTGACAATTTCATGCATTTCAATTAAGCTGCCGTCTGGGTGCGAAATGTGTGAACAATGCAGAGAACGCAGTCGGTAGGAGACGGACACCCAGGATATCCAGACGGCACACCCACTCATTCTACGATTCACAACCTTGTTGTTGAGTTCTCTGACAGCTCTTAATGAATTAGCTAATAAAAAGAGACCCCCCACACACATACACACCTCAAAGGACTACTGAAAAAGTGCCTTTCACATTAAGAGCGCAGAAAGCGAGAGAGCAGAGAGTGTGGTATGTCTTGGAACGATAAACATCATTAGATGGTACAAAGGGATCGGCACAAAAGGACATTATTTGCATGTTGTCTGTCTGCTTTTTTGTATGGTGCCACTGACCCCTCCCCTCTCCCTATCCCCCACACGACCGCCCTGAATGGAGGAAGACATCTCTCAGGTGTGTGCTGCCTTATCGAGTGGGTGCTGTTTTACCTTTTGAAAAGACGCATTTTCACGCCCCCCCTACACACACATTCACGGGGTGCACGGGGTTTATACACTTTGGAAAATCGCCAGTCAAAGAGATGGAAATATGTTGTTTGCTTTGTGGATAGGTCCGGGCCGCCTGCTTGGAAGCTGTCGGGATGAATGTCATTCAGCGAAGGTGTTGGCATGGCAAACATTTCCCTTCGGCCCCCAAACCAACCAGAAAAAAAACACAACCCAAAATGCTTAAAGCAAAAGTCTCACAACTGTCTGACTTTAAAGAAGAGAGACGTCAGAGAGCAGTCGTGTGTCCCGTCCCGTCCCTTCCTGCCTTCACAGAAAACATAAATTTACATATTTTAATTATTCATGCATTTTTAAGATTGATAAGAAATGTTGTGGCCACCAGGCAGGGGCAAGACACAGCACAGAGGGTGCCCCCTGAGGCAAGTCCAAAGACCGAAACGAAACGAACGTTCTTCCAGTGGCAGTGGAGGAAAATCTCTTCAAATTTCGACCGCAACTGGCAAAGGACGAAAGTGGCTAACTAAAGAGTTGAATATGATTTAATTGTATAGGTTTAAAGTTTGGTTTTAGTTTTGGTTTAGTTATGGTGCGAAATTTGTGAGCTTAAAGCGGAGAGAATTGAAATTTTCTTTTACATTTCTTTCAGAAAAAAGCTTAAAATATCATCAAATCAAGCGGATACTTCCCACAAAAGCCTTTTTTTTTAATTCCCGCTGTTTTTCCTTCAATGTGACACTCAAAAAACTTTATTTTTAGTTTTTGCAATCATTTCAACTGCAAAGAAAAAAGCGACGAACCCAAGTCTCGTGCCAAGCAATTTGGAACAAATCAAACTTTGGTGTCAAGTTCCTACTGTGGATTATGTTGCAGGAAAGAAAAGTTTTCCCCACACATTTTTCCTGTGCTGCTGCTTTGTTTTTGAGTAGCCAAGAAGCAATTGAAAACAAATCAAAATACATGAAGTAGCATCCGGGCAGAGTCACAGTCAACAATTGACAATCTTCAAATATATTTATAGGCCTCCGCATCGGTCTCAGAACGGTAGAAGGTTCCATGGCCTAAACAAACAGTGGCGTCCGACGGCTGGCTGCTGCTGCTGCTGCTCCTTGGTAAAGTTTCGAAAAACC